GACCCTTATCAGTAGGTGTCTAACAGCCACGGTTACGCAGTTACCAAAGGGGTAGCGTATTTGGTTTTTTGCATAGGGTCGTTGTTGAGATTTTGGGGGGCGGGAGATGGTGGTGGAATTTGCGGTCGCGCTGGAGTGGAGGTGGGGATTAGGTTGTTTCTGAAGTTTTGCTACAGTTTAGGCGGAACTTCAGAGAAGGAGAAATGTAGAGAACTGTGGCATGTGCGGTTTCTATAGATATATTTATTTGCTCCTCTTCTCCCTCGATCAACTTTAGTTTTGTGGGACGTGTAGGTCTTGGCATCAAATGCTATACATAGAAACAGCCATGTCTTTGATGGGAGTAGTCACGGGTGGGGGGTCTAGGGTGGAGAAGGGAAGGGCCGTACAGGAAGGTTTGCTCGAGGAATGACGGTGACGGTTGGGCGACGAGGCTTCCTTTAAAAAATGAGCGGAGGTTGTGGTAGTGATGTCGAAACATTAGGAATTGGAACAACGGACGGCTGGCTCTCATCCCCGCCTGGATGCCATGCTCCTGTGCTTTTCTATCCTTCCTGGATACACCTGAATTTCCTTAATAATGCCGAGTTACATAATGTAATCAAAAAAATCAAAAATTCTCAGGTTTCCGCAAAAATCCTAATCTTTCGCATTATTCCTGAACGCTCCCAGGAATGTCAAAACAGTGGTGAAGAAATGGTCCAGAGTTCGATCCCCGGTGATGACTAATTTTTGCAATATAGTTTGGCGCCCCAAATGGCGCCATCGTCGAGAATAGATGTCATTGTCGTGTTTTGCGGCAATTTGGAGGCGCCAACATAAATTGCAAAAATTTGTCATCACGGAGGATCGAACTTTGGACCATTTCTTCCCCGCTGTTTTGACATTCCTGGGGGCGTTCAGGAAAAATGGACCATGGTTCACATGAGCCTCTACAACATCAGAAACCATTTCAAAAAGCGCTCCATGTCCTGAAGACCCCCTTGTAAGGTGCTCCTCTCTTCGCGTTCGCGCGCAACAATCCCATTTTACGGGCTATGGTCCTTGTACGCTACTACGGAGCACACCAGGGATAAACTTATTAAGACGAGGTACTAATTCTCAAACCAGACCAATAAAGATGGCTTCCTTCCTCTATCATGTCGTTGATGAGACTGCATGGGAAGAAAGACATGTTACTGGGTAATACCACTCAACTCCACCAGGAAGTTCCTGATGGGAGATGATGCACGGCGCACTCTGCGAACTAGTCCACTATATACTTCTTTCCCATGCTGGTGTTGAAAATGTAGCTATTTTTCCAGATACGGCAGCACTTCTAAGAAGTCCGACCATGTCGTTTTGGACCTCATGTGCTGTATGGAAGATATGCCCATAGAGAAGATGATCGCCAGATATTTGACCTTGAATCATTCGATGAATTGAAAGCTGCTCAGAACGTTCCTTTCCTCTCTTCGTTTCTGCGAATTTCTCATTCTGATTAAATTGATCTTCACAGTTTTCTGTAATTTCACAGTGCCTTGATGAGATGATTGGTCTGATTTTTGGTTGCTTGAACTGTGTTCTAAATGAATCTCACAGCGGGTGATTTTGTGTTGTTTACATTGTTAGGACATTTGAAGCCGTTTGCACTGAGGTTAGAAGATACTTGAGTCTAGTAGAGAGCAATCTTCTCAAAGGTCGTTTTCACAATGAAACGAGTTCTCAAAAAGTGCAATGGAATCGTTCAGCGGATAAAAACAAGAATATTCGGCGCTATCGCAATATACAGGGGCACCATTTAAATGTAGCTAAGGAGAGAGTACCCCGATAAGAGGCGCG